CTCCGTTGTTAATGGACGGATTAATGAACGGAAAACTGATTTCAACAGACAGACGGACATGGCTTAATCGACTCCGCTATCTATAAGGATTCAGAATATATATACTTTATAGGGTCGGAAAATTATATTTTGGAAATTACAAACGGAATGACAAACTTATATATACCCTTCTCACGAAGGTGAGAAGCTGAACAAAAAGCGCACGCAACAAAATCTTTCAAATCAAACAACTCATCAAGTCTTTTCAGCCATACTATCCAGTCAAATTACGTCTTACTATGTGGCCTCCGGTGGGTTAGTGGTTAGTGTTCTAGTCTGGTAGACCGGAGGTGGTGGGTTCGATTCCCACCTGATGCACTTTACATGGCCGCTGCTAGTTTGTGTGGCTGCTAAAGAAAAACAAAATCACTTGCTAGTTATTGCAGCAGCGTGTGCGCACAGTTGACTGTATTCAATTAGTTTGTGATTAAAAATTTTAACAAGTTACTTATTTTTTAGCCTAAAACTAGATTTAGTAAATTGCGACTGCAATTAGTAGTTTTTCAAATCCCTGTTTCAAATATTTTAAATCAAAATCCGGTGCGCATTAAAATATTTCAAGGATATACAATTTTACGACCTAAATACAGATTTCATAACCTCAAAAATAAATTCACATACATATATAGCAAAATGTTTAGAAATTTAAACACATTCACTATGAATTCATTCATAATAATGACATATAATTAATTTACCCATAATCGTTTGTCTGGATCGACCTAACGATTTTATCGTCTCTGAACGCCGTCAATACGTAAACCTAAAGAAAGCAGACTGGCACGGCTTCAGAGAATTCACCGAACGCATCTTCAGTGATCTAAATTTTCCCTCCAACGTACACCATTCAGAGAGGAAGTTCCGTGAAACTGTCATCTCAGCAGCTGCTCGCTTTATACCTGCTGGTCGTATATCCGTAGTGCGGCCGCACTTCCCAGCAGAAGCAGCCAGGCTTGCAGATGAAAGAGATGACATCCGAAATACCAACCCAGGTGATCCAAGACTCACCCAGCTGAATAATGAAATCAGCAGGTTGGTAAATGAGGACAAGCGGAAAAGACGGCTAGATCACTTGAAGAACTGCAACCTGAGTTCGGGTGTGAGTAAGTTGTGATCTACAGTTCGATCTCTCTCTAACCCGACGAAGAAGGATGACAGGGTCGCTATTAAGTTTGCAGATATCCCCATTTCCGACCCTGAAGGGTGCTCGCGCGCATTTTGCCGGCAATTCATTGAGCACCCTGAGAGAGACAAGGCAAAACGAAGTGTTGTTCGCAAACTTCACAATCTTCCAGTCACGGACATACCACAAACCTTCACCCCAGCTGAAGTTTCAGACGTCATCAACAACGCCAAACCATCTAAGGCGATTGGCCCCGACGGAATATCCATGCTGATGTTAAAACACCTTGGCGAGCGGGGAGTTGAGTACCTGACTATGGTCTTCAACAAGTCAGTGAGTAGCCTCGTAATACCCGAAGCCTGGAAAAAGGGTAGAGTCATTCCCATTTTAAAACCGAAGACTTTTGAGGCGCTTCTCCTCCCCCAGTTGTCCAGAAATACACCAGTTCTTCACTGCGCGTAACCTGCAATTATCACCAGCGAAGTCGTCAACAACACTTTTTACCACCTGGATGAAGGAAGTAAACCTAAACCTTGGCATCGTGGTCAATGGAGTCCAAATTCCGACCGTGCACCACCCAAAAATATTGGGGGTCACATTTGATAGCCTCTTTACTTCCTCAGGTCACGCCACTGCAATCACGCACAAATTGCGAAGTAGAAACAAGGTCCTCAAAGCGCTAGCCGGCAGCACTTGGGGTATGGATAAAGAAACCTTGTTGGCTACATATAAAACGATTGGTCGGTCAGTGGTTAACTATGCTGCTCCAGTGTGGTCACCTTCGCTAAGTGATACCCAGTGGAGAAACATTCAAAGCTGCTAAAATGCCGCCCTAAGGACTGTAACGGGCTGCCTACAAATTACCTCGGAACATCACCTGCACGAGGAAACGAAGGTTCATCCAGTCAAGGAACACAATGTCATGTTGACTAAACAGTTCCTCCTGGGATGTCATCGGAGAAGTCATCCCAATTTTAACATCATACAATTGGATACTCCCCCGAGGCATGTCAGGAAGGATCTTCGTATATACGAGGAAAACATATGCAGATATGTGCGGGATGCACTGGATCAGTCCTCGTATTCGGTAGCTTCGAACGACATTCATAGAGACGCCATAAATTCCGCGGTCGCAGGATACCGCATGAATGTCGTACTTGGAGGTCGCCCACCGCCCATAGCAGACACGGAAGAAAACCTGCCGCGGAAAACAAGTAGTAGTTCTGACACAACTAAGATCGGGATGGAGCAACAGGCTCAATGCCTACTGGTCACGTATAGACCGTGCCGTCCCCAACGAATGTCCTGCATGTGGTCAGGGTCCTCATGACACCCACCACATATTCAACTGCTCAGCCAAACCTACTTCACTCTGTCCAATGGATTTATAGTCCAGTTGAAGTAGCCCAATTTTTAGGCCTGGACTTTGATGTAGAATCCCCGACTAGATTATTGTATAGTTTTAGCTGTTACAACAACAACATATAATTAAAATTATGTTTTCAAATGCGGCGAAATTTTTTTTTTTTTTGCAAAAATAAAAAAATATTCATATTCTATTTTTGGGGGTTCGGAGCTGACTCTCACAGGGTAACGTGACGATCGCTTTAACTTGGTAAAGCCGTTTAACTATCCCTGTAAAGACTAGTTCAAGATGGCGAACCCCGCAAACGAATTAAGGATCATGATTTGAGAATATGCACCTGGAATGTTCTATCCCTTTACAGGCTAGGTGCAACAATTCATCTGACAAATGTCCTCGAAAAGTATAAGGCCGACCAGGAAATTCTTTAAGAAGATAAAGAGCCATACTGAGGGATTAAAGTGTGGGGCCTCTTCCTGCAATGATGATAGTAGCAGGGTAGGTAAAAATATCGCTCGCGATCGCTATTTTATTTATATCGCTCGTTTTAAAATTCAAAATCGCGAGTTTTATTTTTCAACACGCGAGCACAATTTTAATTAGAGTTTTATGTGTTTTACATTCGCTTCGTAAGCGATATTTACATGTTTTTCTTTTTTCAACTCGCTTACGAGCGAGTGGAAAACGAGTTGAATTCGAGTTAAATTCGAGCCGAAAATCAGCAAAATGTGTGTGCAAGAAACAGGTTCTGTTGTGGTAGTAAAAAAGAACCAATAATATGGGAAATAATTATGTATGTGTGATTGTGTAGCCGTAGGTTTTATGACAGTCTGACAAAGCAAAAGTGGGAAAGTATAAGAAATATATTGTCTACCTTTTTATTTAAATGTGTATGTTTTTTATCTGTAGTTATGTATGTACATATGTATATTGATGGACATGCAAGTGATCTTTAAAATTTTTTTTTATTTATTACTGCCGGTTTCTCTAAATGCGAAAGAACATTTTCTTTCTTACAAATATATTGAAAACAACAAATTTAAAATTTTGTTTTTGTTTTCAATATATTTATAAGAAAGAAAATGTTGTTTCGATATTGTGAAGCAGGCAGTTAGATTATTGATTGTGAATCATGTATGTATGTATGTATGTATGTATGTATGTATGTATGTATGTATGTATGTATGTATGTATGTATGTATGTATGTATGTATGTATGTATGTATGTATGTATGTATGTATGTATGTATGTATGTATGTATGTATGTATGTATGTATGTATGTATGTATGTATGTATGTATGTATGTATGTATGTATGTATGTATGTATGTATGTATGTATGTATGTATGTATGTATGTATGTATGTATGTATGTATGTATGTATGTATGTATGTATGTATGTATGTATGTATGTATGTATGTATGTATGTATGTATGTATGTATGTATGTATGTATGTATGTATGTATGTATGTATGTACGTATGTATGTATGTATGTATGTATGTATGTATGTATGTATGTATGTATGTCATATTTATATATAAATTGATTATGCCTTATAAATTTAAATTTATTCCATTTACAAAATTATAAAACTCGCGATTAACTCGTTTTGACTCGAATCGCGAGCGAGTTCTATTTTAAGCTCTTTAAATTTTCAACTCTTATCGCGAGTTTAAAAATTAAACTCGCGAGTCGAATAGATTTATTCGCCGGAAAATAAATTATTTAAATCGCTCGAATTAAACTCGCTCGCGAGCGAATTGAATTCGATCGCTATCTGTACCCTGGATAGTAGTGACGGACATACAGAGTACATTTAGGTTATGGAAGGATCACATTCGCAAATGGAGATTTTAATACCCGGATCAATTATGACGGCATTTACATACCGCCACCTGACCACATGCAAGTACAAATGGCCATAGGAAGGCTGAAGAACAATAAATCCGTGGGTGCCGATGGCTTGCCCGCAGAGCTATTCAAAAATGGCGGCAAAGAGTTGGTACGATGTATTCAGCAACTCCTATGCAAAATATGGTCTGAGGAATGCATGCCTGATGAATGGAACCTGAGATATAGTATAGTGGCGAGTTGTGATGTGACAAAAGTATACTCTTCGGTAAAAGTTCCTATATATAAATATTTAAATTAAAAAAAAACTTAAAAAAGTTTGATTTATATAGAAATTTGGGTTGGTGCGTGATGTTTTTGATTCCAAGTGACATAAAAAAATTATTTTCATTACTTATACAACATTGGCCATCTCGTGATGGTATGCCAAAAATTTCGACAAATTAGTTATATCCCTAATGTATGTATGTATGATATAGAGTTATTTAAATACTTTATTTTAATACTTTCGAACATAACATTACATTGTCATAAAGTGTATGGTACAAAATTAAATTTTGAACCTTATTAACAAACTAAAAAAACAAATAATTAAAAAAAAAATATAATAGTAATTACCTTATCATTTTTGTTGCATGGTGTAAACCACATTTTCATGAATACTTCAGTAACCAGTTTTTGAATTCCTTCTTCGTCATTGACCCTTCTTATCATTTTGACGCATATTTCCGGTATTTTCTTAAAATCTGGATATTCTATACATATATCACGAAGAATTTTAATAACACGTTTTCGCACCGATACGCCAGTATCCTAAATTAAAGATTAATTATTTACATACGTCTCGCGAATAATTGATATTTAATATATACCAGTATTCTGGTGGACAACATATCATAATACTGATCAATTAACTCTTCGTTACTTAGAACAAATTTTCCGACTAAATCTACAGCAGCTTCACGCACAGATATTGCAGCATCTAAAAATTTCTGATTAACTCCCATTTGCATATCTTTCCTTTTCAGTACAAAAGGATCCACTTCAACTATATTTGCTAAGCATTTCATTGCACGAGTTCTTACTGCTATTGAGGGCTCACTTAAAAAATTAACAATATTTAAATATATTAAAAATTTAATATACATACTATGCACGTAAATCAGAAACTTACTTAACGACCAATATTATTTTCTTAAGATAACCATCAAACGACTGACTAAAAGGCCGTTTTGTTGCCAAATATTGTGCGATAAGGTGAGCATTATTGTAGTCAATGTAAGTTTTAATATGTTGTGATGTATGATTAATATCACTTGACGCAGAGTATGGTTTAATATTATTTATTAAATAATGTTTACGCTCTTCTAAAATATTGAATATTTCCAAATTTAGCTCTTGATCTATAATACCAGAATTACGATTATTTGTATTATCAGCGATGTTATCATCTCCACTTTCGTTACAACTTTCACTTTCTGATGATTCGGATGATCCACCTATAAAAAAAGAATATTATTAATGGTTTTTACCATCAAAATTAAAGATATGCACATTTCCATAATGTCGAGAGCGTCAGTCGAACACATTTAAATTAATTTGATAGCTCGAGTTTTTAATTTATACGCATTTAAAGTTTTGCAATTTTATGAACAATTTGCCCATATATCTATTTTATATGTACAGCGACTGTCATTAATATTCGGTTTTTACGTTTGCGTTTTTTCTGCTCTTAGTTTTTAAATACAAATTAAGGTATTTAAAAAAATATTTTGTACTTTTGTTGTACACATATACATACTTACCAAATTTTTTATCAATTAAATATAATAAAACATTGAAAAACATGGAATATTACATAAATTTATGCTTCATTAATTTGCGGTTTTTTATTCTTACGAAAAATTAATCGATGCAACCGTTCAAAAATTGTGTGAATTAATTATGATGTTCAAATAAGATCGTATATATCGTGGAATCATTTTAGAAACGTTTTTTTATTTCTAAATAAAAAAAATCATCTCTAGAAAAAATAATTGTATTTTTGCATTATGAAAATGAAAAAATCATATAAAAATATTGGTGAAATATAAAATATGAAGCCAAATACTGTCGGTGATATTGTACAAAGGTATTAAAAAGAAAAGCGAGATAGCCGAAAAAGTTGACAGATACAGAAGAGCGTCTAAAAGACAAAAAGCAAGGCAAATCCGCGTTAAATGTACCTAAAATTGTTTCTGAAGTAAAAGAGTAATTAATAAAGACTATTTCAGAAACAACAATTCATCGAAAGATTTCAAGTCAACGGTATAATGGCCGAGTGTCTAGTAAGAAGCCGATAGAAAATACTAAGGAACGTACCGACTAAAATTTGTGAATGAACTCTTAAAAAAGATTTAATTTGGTGGGACGACGTTATATTTCTTTGATAAGAGCGTATTTAATATATTTCAAGTGTCAGAAGAACACTGGTGTGGCGGAACACGGAAAAACACGGAGGAGGACATGTGATGGTTTGGGGCTCTATCCCAGCAAAAAATTATCAGAAAATGTAAGCAATAAAATTGGGTGGAAGCAATACAATGCTTACTTAATTAAAAAAAGCTTCCAAAATGCAACAAAGTAAGGCAGTGATTTTGTAATTTTCAATGTTCTGGTATTTCTTATTAGAATGCTTACTGAGAATGCATAATATATTGAATATTAGTACGTCAGTGTTGCAGAAAAGTTTTAAAAATCGATTTTTGGGCCGATTTCTAAAATTGGATAAGTTTAGATATTTGATCATGATATTCAACCGACGGTAAGGAACTTTAATAAAATGTTTTATCTTATTCATTATGTCTGAACATCTGTGTGTCCATGTTAATCTTGTGAGAACGGCAAAGATTTATATTTTCGAGATAATTTAACAAAACCATCCTCAATTGGTATAAGGAAGATGTCTATTGAAAATACTTGAAATCAATACATTATTTCATATACCCATAAAATCGAACGTTCCGAATTGGTTTTGTATAACCTTAACTTTATACAAACGTCTTTCAGAAAATTATTTGAACGTTCTTAATTAAAAAAATAAATAAATAAATAAATAAATAAAATCATATTTTCATATACTCATGCCTTAGTATTGTCCAATACATTTTTAAATTTTTTTTCTGTTGCTAACGTGAGATCCAATAAAATTGACAAATTAAAAGAGTACTGTAAATGTTATATTTTTGTTTGTTTTATTTTTAGGAATTTTCTTACGAAGTAAGAAATATGTATGTATAATAGTATAATAATTGAGTGCATTAGGTATAATCCTATTGAGAGCACGAGTAAGCATATTAAAAGAAGAAATAATTTTTAATAAAAAGAGTGTCTGTCTGATTTATATTAGTGCTTCGAAAATGCATCAAAGTAAGGTAGAAATTTGTTTTTCTTCGTTTGAAAGTTTGAAAAATTATTAAAAAACACACCCGATTGTATTATTTTTAAAATTTTTTTGCTTCCGCGAGGCACTAACGTAAGGCAGTAGAGGCTGCCTTTTTTTGCGATCATTTACGAAGAGATTAAAATTATATAAGGGTGTTTTTATGATGCAATAGAAAATAGAAATATGTATACAATTCAGTTAGTGATTGGATCTTAAAGCGAGTAGTGCAAGTGTTGTGAGTAAAAAAGAGTAAAAAAAAACCTACACCAACAAATATCATCTAACTGTAAAACAAAAGGCACGTATTCAATTTTGTTGTAAAAATATATTTGTTTATATTTTTCTTCGAAATTACAATCGAGTTTGTTTAATTTGTTTTAAAAATGTTAAGTAAAAGTCAAAGAAATTAATTAATTAAAAAAGAAAAGGAGAAAAATAGATTATCACTATTAGGTGCTTCCTCATCTTCGCCAAATTCTTTCCAACAAAGTTCTCCTACTGAGGAAACGGCATCTAATTTATTTACCAAAAGTGATTTAAAGAGTGGTTTTTAAAATATCACCCCACTGTAAATTGTGCAAATGCACTTCTCAAAATTTTAAAAAAAGACAATCCAGAAATCCCTTTGAGTGTCGATACCCTTGTAGGTAAAAAAATGTTAGCTTCAAAGAGGACTGTTGCTCCAGGTTCATATTTCCACTTAGGATTAGATTTAAACAACAATTTAAATATAATGGTAGAAAATATTAAAAGCGAACAGATTAAGGAAATTGTTTTAGACATTGGCATCGATGGCCTTCCGATTTTTAAAAGTAGTGCTATTGGTCTTTGGCCTATTTTAGGCCGTGTAGTTAACATGCCAATGATTAATGTTTTTCTAATTGGGACTTATGTAGGCATAAAAAAGCCATATAATACTGACTTATTTCTTCATGATTTAGTTTATGAAATCAAGAAATTAAAAACAGAAGGTTTTTCTTTCGATGAGAGTAGATATAAAAATTCGTGCCTTCATATGTGATACTCCAGCTCGCTCTTACATTTGTGGAATAAAAGGCCACACAGCCTTTAATGGATGCAGTAAATGTGAGCAAAAAGGAGTAAGAATTTCGAATGTGACAACATTTAAAACATGCGTAGAAAAATTGCGATCCGACGATGACTTCAGGTGTAGACGAGATAAAGATTTCCATCATTCTAAATATCAAAATGTCATTCCATTTGTAACTTCCACAACATAATAAATTTTATCTATTTTAATCTAATGTCAATTTTTTAAAATATACTAATGTGAGGGATATAAAATATTCCGTATAGCTAAATTTAGCAGTGCTATTTGATATACATATGTATTTATTCACTTACTAGTAAGTTACTAGTTATACATTTATTGATAATAACAAAATATTTTCATATTGATTGATTGATGATATACCATCATCAACAAGTATGTTAATTATATCAAAATTAACAAAAATATGTACAGGGAACTCTAAATCAAAAAAATCAAAACTCCCAACTAATTCAAGATGTTGAATGTTTAAAAGGTAACAAAACACTTTTTATTTAACTATTACTTGCTACAGACTTATTCAGAAAAGTCTTTTAGAACAATAGTTGATAGTTTTGATTCTGAGAAAAGAAATTATTACACGTATCAACTAAAAAGTGCAAAGGGTTTGACAGTAGTTATCAAAGGTGTAGACAGCTCTGTACCAACTGATGACATTAAAAAGGCGCTAGAGTCTGAAGGTTATGAAGTGAAGTCCATTCACAATATATTTAACAAGGACAAAATTCCCCAACCAATGTTTAGAGTCGAAATTACTTTTAACTCTTCACAATTGAAAAAAAAAGGGTGATACTCATCCAATATACAGTTTAAGATATCTTCTCAATCGCAAAATAACTGTAGAGGAACCCATTAAGCGCAGAGGTCCTCCTCAATGCCTAAATTGCCAAGAGTTCGGTCACACCAGAACTTTCTGCAAATTACCATCTGTTTGTGTGAGATGCGGAGACATCCATAAGAGTCAAGATTTTCCTTACCCAAAAACAGATAACAATAAAAGAAAATGCAGTAACTGTGGTCAAAATCACACTGCTAACTATCGCGGATGTCCAGTATATCTACACATCCAACAATCAAATAAGGCCAGAAGACCTTTATATGCTCAATATAAAGCTTCTAACTTCCCAAGCCTTCCTAATACTTCTAGTGCTCAATATAGAAGTATCACAAATAAAAGCAATCAGAATAAATCGTATGCCCATACGACAAAAGAGGGTTCCGTTACCCAAATGAATGCAAATCAAACTTCTAGTGCCCAATATAGAAGTCTTACAAATAAGAATAATGAGAATTTGCAATCAAACAATGAAAATAATGCCCCATTATTTTCATATGCACATGCATTAAAAGAGGGTGTGCCTGCACCCGAAACAAATTCTCAAAGCTCTATTGAGAATCTAATTCAAACCATGAACAGTTTCATGGCAAATATGCAAAATATGTTTCAACAATTAATGCAGAATCAAAGCATGCTCATGCAGATCCTGCTAAATAAAAAATGAATTCTCTAAGAATTTGTTTTTGGAATGCTAACGGCCTTAGCCAACACAAGAATGAAGTAGAACAATTCCTGCTACTTCAGGAAATTGACGTATTTCCCAATGCCAGAATACAAAAAGGACCATATCCAGGCCACCTCTATAAATATACCTGATAGTCGAGTTACAATATCTTCAATATATTGTCCTCCTAGGTATAATGTTAATCGAGAGCAGTTTCTCGAATACTTTAAAACTCTTGGCCCAAGATTCATAGCAGCTGGTGATTATAATGCAAAACATACATTTTGGGGCTCTCGCCTCATTACTCCCAAAGGCAGACAATTGCTAGAAGCAATATCGTACAACAGACTAGATGCCATATCTAGTGGCCAACCTACCTATTGGCCTACAGACCTCAATAAGATTCCCGATCTAATTGACTTTGCTGTAATCAAAAATATAAAACGAGAATTTATTTCAGTGATCCCTTCATTGGACCTTACGTCAGACCACTCGCCTACA